ACATCTTTAGGTATGAGATGCTGTACCTAATCACGAGTCAATTACGTGACCTAAAACGTGTTCTATTTTGAACATGAAAACCAAAAACATCTAAGTACAGAGATGTCGTTGATGACAACAACATTTTTAGTGCACCAAGACGCAAAAAACAAATTGTCAATAAATTTTAAATGTATGCTAATGCTGTAGAATCTTAAGTCTACTATTGTGATTTGAATATTGCTTTATTATTATTATGATCGTTTATGTATGCAAATCCATCTTTTAAGGCGAAGAAGAACATTAAATATTCAATATTTTTTGTCTGTACTGATTTTAAGAATTCTCAGGCCAAGGTTGCTCCAAGTGACATTAGTTGTCATCAAAGACTAGGTTTGTCATAGGAAGTATGATAGTCTGTCACAAAATGGGTCAGTCAAGTTAATTGCCACTAATGTACCATCAGTTTGTCTCATTAAAGCACTCTAAATAACCACAAAAACCTTTCATAAACCGTCAATTTGTCTCAACATAGCACTGAATAATCTAACCTTTACATTGGCGGGATCGTCGCATAACGCAACAGAGCCATATCCAAACAAAACTTGTCTGTAAAAAGAAAATAACTGCTAATTATAGATGTCCTTTATCTGTCAAGCATAATGATTGACATGACATGAAATGATTTTAATATTCATCCGTAGAACAAAGACGAATGTGCAAGATGCTGTTTATTCTTGGGACATTGTACATTTCGCTTGTTGTCCTTGACAACGGATATCCACAGTCAAGATCGACTGTTGTTCGATTTTATATTTCCGAAACGAAATAAAAAATACATAAAAAATCTGAAAACACCTTTATATAGGCCTTTTGAATAACGAGATTATGTTTTAATCTCTTTTCGCTGCATAATCAGATTGCACTTTGTTCTTCGGATGAGTATAATTTTAAGACTAAACTGACAGTACTGAGCGAATGTGAACATGTTCTGATTTGTTTATACCTGGATGTGTCACCAAGCTACTTGCGAATGAGTACGTCCAGGGAAGTACTTTACGTATTTCAGCTACCCAGCAGTAACGTCAGCATTACTGCGTTTCGGCTTTCAAGGTGCTGGTGAAATTACTGGCTAAGGATGACGGGAGCAGTGGTAGTGCCCCTCAGCATCTTTACTACTTAGTATATAGATAGGTAGTGCATCTTTGCTAGTTAAAGCTCTAAGTGGCACTGCAACTGCAGTGGACATCTGACTTACACAAGATGCACGACTTGTTCGTCCCTTAACTTGGTGTCGTAAAAAAACTATGATGCCTTGTTTATTGTACAGTGATTCTCAAATAAAAAAAATGACGTTAAGTATTTCATTTACAAGTCTCTACATACTTCTCTTCTAATTTTTCTGTTATCCAATTCTTAATAGATGTCTGGATATCTCGTATTTCTCATTGTAAGTGAATGTTTGTATCCTGTTTTTGAGAAATTAATGTGTTAAACCATAACGAGCCAACAACAACTACCTAACTGTACTATTATTTGCTGTAATGCAGGAAAATGCAGTCGTATAATCACACAGTTTCATATTTCATAATTTCGTGTCACACACATTGTTTTTGTAGCATACGAGCGATGAAATGAATCAACTTTGTATTTTATTAGCCGTCTATACCGATTATGTTACACTTTTCTATAAGAATGTGGGTCACATGCTTTGAAATTTCAATCAGTTTCAATTTTTTATGTGTTTTAAGTCACTACACATGTTCCCACGCAAGCCTTCGAAAACAACTATTTCACCCGAGATATCTATCTCTACAGAATAACACTATAGTCTATTTGTAAAAATGCAAACAATCTTGATATGTCTATTTAGTGAAATATACATTTATAAAATGATTTTTACTTACATTCAAATACAAAATAGCATCATATGAAATTGCATGCCTATTTTTATACCTATTAATTTGCAAAGTATAATGTTTCAATAAAAATATGTATCAAGATTGTTTACATTTAGTTAAGTACCTAAACAAATGAACTATAAGATTCTCTTCTATTTAGGCAATTAAATTAGGCAACTTGCTAGTAACAATACCTAGCACACTAAATTATCTATCAATTTATTGTTTTGCTGTGTATGCATTAATATATATAGTATAACATTTGCCGTTTACGATAAAAGTACAGGATAAACATAATCATAAACAACAAATTTTGTTCCATATCTTTTTACAAAACACAATAAATTTACCAAAAATCAACTTTTTACTTTTTATTGTACTATCTGACAATTTTTAGATCTGTGTTTGGTAGAATAAGTTCAAACATATAAGGCGTTGTCCACGACGACTCCCACACCCGTTCTGCACAGAATGGATACCATTTAGAGCGATCTATTTATTTTTGTATGAAAGTAAAATCTGATACATAAAAGTCATGGAACAAAAGTTGTTGTTAATGATAATATTTGTTATATTTATATAACATAATCCTGTGAGTTTGTCAGTATTTTAAAAATACTCCTGTAAGCATTTATGCGACACGAATTTCACGTTGCCGCCGCGCAGCGACTGCGTGCTTCTGACTGTCAGTGTAAAATACGCTCTATTTATTTGGCTTTTACGTTCTAACTTAAATGAGCTTTCCGGCCACGCAGGCGAGACTGGCATGAATTTGGTCTGCGCGGCTGCCGGCCGGGGGCCGCGTGGTTTTATTATTTTCAGGGGAATTTAAATGTTGTCGTCTAGTAAATAGAATTCAGATTCGCCATTAATGTATATGAAGGCGTGGTAAGTGGGCGGTCGCCGCGCGATGGCCGTACAAAATCGTTCGCCTCGTGTAACTGGGCGCTAAAGGTTATTTACACATCTGCATACTTGGGTGATAAAAATCCGTGGTAGTGACCCGTTTGGCTCTTGCGGGTTGTGTCGATGTTGAAATAAATATTGTAAATTATAAATGTGTACTAGTGTCTATTTACAAAGAGCAACCCCTAGAGTTTCTTATACATTTTTCTCACGGCCTTACTAATGAGTAACAGAGTTTAATCAACGAGTGACGATTTTAAGCGTATGTTGCTAACTACGAAGCAAAGATTTATTAACTAAAATAACGGATAACTCACGTATTTAATTCGAATTTTTGCTCGACATGTTTCGAACCAATTCGTTGTCCTTAATTGATGGGACGAACAAGTCGTGCGCCTGATGGTAAACGACACGCCTGTCCATAACAGTTGCAGTGCCACTCAGAGCAATCGCAAAGATCGCTGCGCCCATCACCCTGAGACAAAAGTTGAAAAGTCCCATCTGCCTGTAATTTCACCAGCACCCTTATCCTTCAAAACTGGAACGCGATAATGTTCATATTACTGCTTGGCGGCAGAAATAGGTAAGGTGGCAGTACTTCACTGGATGAACTCTTTTACAGGGAGCTCTAGTGCTACTAAAATAATAGTTAATATGTCTGAGTCTCACGATGGTTTTCTATTTAGAAATACAGATTGTATGAGTTCGACTTTGTTACTATTTATGTTTATTTATTTATTTATTTTATTTTATTTATGTCTTCAATACAAGAAACTTATAATTAGGAGAACAAGAAAAAAACAATGCGCATAAACCAATACAGGTTTTTCGCACATTGTGCAATCGTCTTATTATAAAAAACAATACTTAATATAAAAAGCATAACACGGTTCATATCCAATATTTACAATATAAAATATGCTTCGCTGTAAGTAGTACAATAATATTTCTGGGCATACATTCCGGTCAACACTTTGCAAGAACTGGCATAAAAATTTAGAACATACGTAAGAAAAATTACGTCCGTTGCTCATCAATGCCTGGATGCATTGCGAGCCCTCGTCGCTCATTCGTCAAGCAATGTACTGGCTTGCATTGATACAAGTAGGTAGTTGTCGAAAACTGCACAGAATATGCACGGTCCGTATTTAAAAGTTTGCGTCAAAGTAGGCGGTAGACTGTAAAAACGTAATACAGGTTGTTTTTATTTAACGGTGTTTTTGCAATAGGGTTTACCTAGGTAATAATTTTTTAGTAAAAGTTTAATATTTTTATTGTTGATTTTAGTTTTTACCGTAGGCGGAAGGTTATTTATTAGTGTTGGTATTGTGCATTTTAATTGATGTTTTCCGTACAAATTATTATACCGAGGGACGACGAGTTGAGCATTTAATGCACTTCTAGTGAATATCTTATGTGACACTGGTTTTTGTATCTCTTTATTGAAGTACTCCTCTACTAAGAGTGAATATTCGACTTTTTTGTGTATGGGTAAAATATGACAAAAGTGGAAGAGATCATGGTATTTACAAGTGAAAGTGGAAGAGATATGGAATTTTTCTTTGATTTTAGGTGGTATTAACACTTTCATTATACGCAATTGCAGTTCATAAATGAGGTCAAGATGTGACTTGGACGTACGACCGTAACTGCTAAGACCATAACCTATTACTGTTTCACCAAGGGATTTGTACAGAGTGAGAAGTGTTTTATAGGGGATTTTATTTTTAATGAGCCGAAATTTTGCGAGAATTGATCTCAGTTTATTGCATACATAGTTTATGTGACTCGTCCATTTGAAACGGTTGTCCATTATAAGACCCAGATATCTGTATTCTTTTACTATGTCGATTGTTGGGCAACTACATCGGTACGGTTTTGTGTGGAGACATGGGTGATTGTGAGCAAACAATTGAAGTTGTCTCTCTGTTCTGTTTTGGCTCGAGCTCACGTACATAAGTTTGGTTTTGCTCGCGTTGAGTACTAAACCTGAGTCGTGCGACCACTTGCTTAGTCTGTCAAAGTCTTGTTGGAGGTTTTTAAGAGCTATGTCCAAGTCAGTATGGGCCGCGACTAGGCATGTATCGTCGGCAAAGAGATAGATTTCACTTTTGTCTACAATATTAACTACGTTATTTACGTACGTTACAAATTATGTGTTACAAATTATGTGAATATTATTATTAATACTAATCTCACAATCGTTTGTTGCAGGTTTGGTGATAGTGCTGAGGACATGTACAGTAGCCCGTCTTCAGTAAACGGGTCTCCGATGCCGACAGTGCCGTCGCTGCTGTTAACAGTGCGCCCTCCTCCACAACCCGTCAGGCCATGGATGACATCCAGGTAAGGGTTCATAGTCATTTTATTTATAACAATTAAGTTTTAAATGACAAAATTTTTAACGTTAACAATATCTAATTATTGATTGATTCACAAAAATTAACTAATACAATAATTAAAATCTTAATAATAAACCATTAAATAATAATAATAAATTACAAAAAAACAATTAAAATTAAAAATAATAATAAAAAACCAGTAAATTGCTGAAGTTTTTACCGACACAGTGTGAAGCTATTATTTTAAATTGTATTTATTTATTTAATGCAGCTATGACTTATATC